ATGGGTTAATTCATCGATCGCGTTTGTTTTCAACGTTCGGTGGTTCGGTTAAGAAACTTTTTGTGATAATTTATTATTTTCTACTGTTAAAATAGGATGGATTGTGTTGTACTAATGTCTACTGCGATGATAATTCATCGATCGCGTTTGTTTTCAACGTTCGGTTAAGAATCTTTTTGTGATAATTTATTATTTTCTACTGTTAAAATAGGATGGATTGTGTTGCACTAATGTTTACTGCGATGATAATTCATTAATCGCGTGTGGTTCACCTTTCTGTCATTTCATTTCTTTCTTATTTCATTAAGAATTCTTTTATGGTTTATTATTTTGTAGTGTTAAAACAGGGATGGGTTGTGTTAATGTTTACGAAATATTTATTGTATAGAGTAAGCAAAAGGAAACGTCGCGAGCTGCTCATTTGAAAAATCATTAATTACAGTGATATAATGCTTTTATCCTTTTTGTCTTTAAATTTTTACTATTGGCTAATATACAAAGTTCATTAATTTTCTAATCTTAAACAGTAATATATGTTTTTCTTACATTATTAGATAATTTATTATAAAAGTGAATATTTGTACTAACTCTTTATATCGTATACAATTAATAAAATAGGACGTATAATTTTTATTGTCTTATCATTAACTATATGTTTCTCTGCATTTCATTAGTTACACAAAATATGAAAACATATCTTCGAGAAGGTACCAACCTTTCAATAAACTGACTGATAATGCGAAAAGTATATATATACTATTCCATTGAAAAAAAATACAGATAACAAGAAAAATACAGAAAAATAGAAGAGAAGTTTATGTTGGTTTGCAAGTGGAAAACTCGTAACACTTTAAACCGGTTCATTCTGTATACATTTCATAAATCTTCCGTTACGTCTCGGTAAGTGTTTATGCTCGGAAAATCACACTGGTGACAGGTTAATAGCGGAAAATGGGGCGATGTTTGAATATAATCCGTTTTGTCGTTAGAAGAATATTGCTTTCTCAATCACCATAATGTTCTACGAGCGGCGACTCCTTTGATCACTCCGGCTTTATAATTTTCGCCAGGGATCATCGTGGAAAATGATCGAGACGTGACATGGGACATTAGAAACGACCTCAAAAATTTCTGTCCGCTCCACGTGAAAGGATTAAATTGTAGAATAAAATGTTCCTCTCGGTTAGTTGGTTTTACAAAATAATTGAATATGAATTTCCACTGGGCGCGTGTGCCATTGAATTAACGAGCCTGCGCAAAAATTTTCAATGTTGATCTTCCCCAAAGCGAATCTCTGCGTAAACAAATTTTTTTATGCCCATCCGAATGGTTCTCGCATAAAATAAAGAACCACCGTTTCAATTGCGGTGCCGGTAACGTGACACCCTCTAAATAAATACAAGTAAAGCGAAGTTTTCATTAAAAGTCACACTATTAACGGAAGTTCGTGAAAGTATTATTCTGAGCATTTCTATTGCTGCAGCAATTTAACCCCATGCCTTTAGAGTTCGTTTTTCTACTTCGTTGATTAAATCTGTTTTTTGATTGAAAATATGTTATGTGTTACACCTCTGCTTAACAACTATATAAATAATACTAATGTTTATTTGTTTTTATTTGAAATGATGGTGAGTTTGATATTAAAATAAGTAGCTTCGAATTTTAATGTTTAACTAAACCTGTAAGAAATTATTTTATATTATTTACATCTTCAAACGTATAATTTTTTCATATTATTTACTTAAATCAAGTTTCATTTTACTATTGCAATTCGATTGATAACAATGATGGTTTTAGTTTATTTTATCAGTGATCACTTATATTTGATTCTACGTTTACTCAATTACTCATAGAATAAATTAAACTTACGATTCAACTAATAATTGAACAAATAAAACGATTCATATTGTCGTGGTTCTTAAATGTAAGTTAAATTATGAACAAAATTTAATTTATGTAGTAATAACTCGTTCATTTACTTGCCTCGACACTGATTAATAGTAACTCTCATTCAACAACTTCCATTCATTGCTCAGA